ATTATATATATTATATATATTATATATATTATATATATATTATATCTATTATATATTACATTATAGATTATAGATTATAGGTTATAGATTATAGATTATACATTATACATAATATATAATATATTATATATGATATACTATATATTGTATATGAAATATTATATTATATATGATATATTATATATTATACATTACATACTATATATATTATATATTATATATAGTGTATATATATACACACACTATATATCTATATATACACACATATATATATATATACATACACATATATATATACAATATATATATATACAGTATATGATTTGTGAGGTTGGATTCTACTAACCAATATTCATTGGGGATTATCACAATTCATCAACGGGGAATTCTTTTCTCAACCAACTATAATGGGACAAGAGAGGGGGAAATCTCCCGGAAAACCCCAGATTGGGCTAGAAACCCTGCTTTCTGCCTTCAATTTTCCCTTCGACGAAAAGATTTGATTTTGAAGAAGCTGTACAATTGAAGGGAAAAGATGGTCATCCGGCATGTGTTTCGATATTCATGCTGCACAGCTTCCAGCTTTCTGCAATATGTTGAGTGCGACAACTGAAAAAAACATACGCAGGAGCTGACATGTCCAAACCATAGCCACATCCCACACTTTTTCGCAGGGTTCCATTTCCACTGTGCATCCCGCTGATGCGTGACATTCGTGGCAGGATTCCAGAGAACGAACGAGAAGACTGGATGCCAATTGGAAGAGCTGGTGATGAGCTCTTCTGCTTTCAGGTCAACGCCAGAAAGGCGAGAAGCGACCGAAACAACGATCAAACTTGGACCTGTTGGAAACCTGAAAAAAACGCCTCGCAACTAGCAAACTGTTCATCACTTTGTGTTTTGGAAACAATCGAAATCCAAGTCTTGAAGTAAATCTGTTTGGATTTTTGCGCCTCCAGGGCCGAAATTGGCGGTTTTCATATCTGCCTTAAGAAATTATTCCAGAGATGTGAGTTCATGGAATAAAGTTTGCAGATTCCTTGTTGCGCTGTTTGATTTGCTATAGTAGGAGTGATTTTTACTGAATGAGTTTTGATTGTCGAACAATTTCCACAAGCAGGCTCTGATGTGACAATTATTCCGGAATAATTTTGAGTTCAAAACATATTTCGTGGAATTTCCGACGATCGGAAGAATTAGGAGCAGAACATGTTTATTCGGGGGGTCCGAATAGATTCTAATTCTTCCGGGCGATGTTGACGGGGTCTACCAAGTTATGGGTTTTCCATCTTTTTCCCAGGGCTTTTCCCAGGGATTTCATTCCAAGATGGGTTTGTCTGAAAATAGGGTCTATTCCCAATTATAGCCATTTAAAAACGGGATAATGATCAGCAAAACCATTGGGTAAAAAGGGATACACAACATTTTCAGACACACCCAGATGAATTCTGCAGGACGGCAGTCTGTTCAACAACATGTTCTACCTCAAGGTGCGTCCACAGCTGACCTGTCGGGCCTGTCGGACCTGTGGGACCTGACAGCATCACGGCTGGACCAGGTGATTGAGCTCAGTGCTACGCTGGGAGAAGAACTGCCATACATTGCCACCTGGGCGGCATAGTGTGATAGTGGTTAATAATGGTCAATATATAATGGATTATTATGTTGATTAATGTTGATTAATGTTGATGAACGTTTATGCATGTTGATTAATGTTGATTAATAGTGATTAATAATGATTAAGATTAATATCACGGGGAATATGAAAATGGGATGCTAATGAAATATTGAACATTGATGAATCGCCTTCCGCGTCCAGAATCATCGAAGGATTGCTGGAGAATCTTCTTACGCCACGTAGGAAACAGGGACCATGTGGCTGGAGGAAAGACAATGAACTTCTATTGTGGTTGTCTTCTCAAAGAATGAAGCCTGAGGCCGTCAAGTGTTAACTCTTGATTTCCATGAATGGAGAATATACAGAAGTTACCAATTTCGAATGCATCCATTTTGTTAGGCCGCAGTTCCAAGCAATCCACTCTGCTGGGCACAAGCTTGATACAATCACTGTGCCTCAGCAGGGAATGTTCCCTGCAAGCCTGTTGGAAGCCCTCCTTCAGACAGCCATTCCCACATATTCCCACAGAGCTACCCACAGAGGTTGGCTTGCAAACAGAGCTACCATTGGGGAAGGCTCTTGCGAAGCGAACTGGGTGCAATGACCATCCCAGACATTCTTGACGCTTTGTATCAGTTATTTTTAAATGCACAGGCGGTAATTCGGTTGTGTAGATCAAAGAGCCCCCAAGCCAATTTTGACATGGGGATAGGTCAAACAATTATGTAATCCCCGGGTGAACATATCCCAAAATCGCTGCGAGTTCTGGATCTTTATCGCTAGTTCCAATCTTGAAACCACAATGTTTTGACCTCCCCCATGATACCCTCTGGTAAACTAACATAACTATGGAAAATCACCATTTTTAATGGGTAAATCCACTATTTCTATGGCCATTTTCAATAGCTATGTTTGTTGACCAGAGGGTATCCCACAGGAATCATATCGCTGCCGCCAGGCAGATCTTGCTCAGCTGGCGAAAAATACCAAGGTCCTTGACCACAACATGAATAAGGCGAGGCGAAGAATCCGATTGATGTTGGTCTCCAAGCACTAGCAATATGATATACCAGTGATGTACATTAGTTGTGAGTTGTGCATGAATCAATCTAATCTAATCTAATCAAATATAATCTTATCTTACCTTATCTTATCTTATCTATCTAATCAATCAATCAATCAATCTATCAATCGATCGATCTATCCATCGATCTATCGATCTATCGATTTATCGATCTGTCGATCTATCGATCTATCGATCTATCGATCCATCTATCTATCTATCTACCTATGTATCTATCGATCTATCGATCTATCGATCTATCGATCTATCTTTCTTATCTATCTTATCTATCTTATCTATCTTATCTATCTTATCTATCTTATCTATCTTATCTATCTTATCTATGTTATCTATCTTATCTATCTTATCTATCTTATCTATCTTATCTATGTTATCTATCTTATCTATCTTATCTATCTTATCTATCTTATCTATCTTATCTATCTTATCTATCTTATCTATCTTATCTATCTTAACTATCTTATCTATCTTATCTATCTTATCTTATCTACCTTATCTATCTTATCTATCCTATCTATCCTATCTATCCTATATATCCTATCTATCCTATCTATCTTATCTATCTTATCTATCTTATCTATCTTATCTATCTTATCTATCTTATCTATCTTATCTATCTTATCTATCTTATCTATCTTTATCTATCTATCTATCTATCTATCTATCTATCTATGTACCTATCTATCTATCTATCTTATCTAATCTAACCTAATCTAATATAACCTAATCTAATCTAATCTTATCTTAATCTTAATCTTATCTTATCTTATCTTATCCTATCCTATCCTATCCTATCTATCTATCTATCTATCTATCCTATCTATCCTATCTATCCTATCTATCCTATCTATCCTATCTATGTATCTACCTATCTATCTATCTATCTATCTATCTATCTATCTATCTATCTATCTATCTATGTACCTATCTATCTATCTATCTTATCTCATCTTTTCTAATCTAATCTAATCTTATCTTAATCTTATCTTAATCTTATCTTATCTTATCTTATCTTAATCTTATCTTCATCTTATCTTAATCTTATCTCATCTTAATCTTATCTTAATCTTATCTTATCTTATCCTACCCTATCCTATCCTATACTATCCTATCTATCTATCTATCTTTCTATCTATCTATCTATCTATCTAATCTATCGATCCTTCATCCATCCATCCATTCATCCATCCATCCATTCATCCATCCATCCATCCATCCATCCATACATACATACATACACATATGTATATACATATATATATATATACATTATAATAGGTACTGTATGATATATTTAATGATACCTGTATGATATCAGTATATTTCATGAGAAATAAATGTAAGCTACATATACCCTTTACCTAAACGTTAAGAGTTTGCGAACTGGAACATGTTTGCATCCTATCCGGCAGGTCCGAGGCTCCTCAGCTGCATGGGTGGGGGGAATGTATGAATCACTGGAGGTGTCAGCAAAGGAAATAGGTACCTATGGACCTATGAATCACTGGATCTATGGATAGTGTATGAATATATGGATAAAATTCCAGAAGCAATTTCAGCAAATGTGTGTGAACCAAGGTGCTCTGGCCCAAATCTTTTTTGTGTCAACCTCCATGACACGCGATGATGTCCTGACCTCAGCATTGCGAAAAACACACTTTTTTTTTTTTTTTCGATTTTATTTTCTGGTCTATTTAAGTTTCTACGTATGCACATAAATGAATATGTATGCATGTAATGTAATGTAATGTAATGTAATAGAATGTAATGTAATGTAGTGTAATGGTATGTATGGTATGTATTTATGTATGTATGTAATGTAATGTAATGTAAGGTAAGGTAAGGTAATGTACTGTAATGTAATGTAATGTAATGTAATGGTATGTATGGTATGTATGTATGTAATGTAATGAAATGAAATGTAATGTAATGTAATGGTCTGTATGGTATGTATTTATGTATGTATGTAATGTAATTTAATGTAATGTAATGTAAGGTAAGGTAATGTAATGTAATGTAATGGTATGTATGGTATGTATGTATGTATGTAATGTAATGGAATGGAATGGAATGGAATGGAATGTAGTGTAATGTCATGTAATGTAATGGAATGGAATGGAATGTAATGTAATGTATGTAATATATGTAATGTATGTAATGTATGTTATGTATGTATGGATATATGTATGTATGTATGTATGTTAGTATGGATGCACGCATGCATGCATGCATGCATGCATGCATGCATGTATGTATGTATGTATGTATGTATGTATGTATGTATGTGTGTATGTGTGTATCCATGTGTTTATGTATGTGTGTATGTATGTGTGTGTATGTATGTCTGTATGTATGTATGCCTGTATGTATGTATGTATGTATGTATTGTAATGTATGTATGTAATGTAATGTAATGTAATGTAATGTAATGTAATGTAATGTAATGTAATGTAATGTAATGTAATGTAATGTAATGTAATGTAATGTAATGTAATGTAATGTAATGTAATGTAATGTAATGTAATGTATGTATGTATGTATGTATGTATGTATGTATGTATGTATGTATGTATGTATGTATGTATGGGGTTACGGCCCCGTATCTAAAGACGAAGACTGGCTTGTGAAATCTTTCCCACTAGTTTTGGCTCAGCTTAGATGAGTAGTACGCATCCCGCTCCAGGGTTGTGTCAGTGTTTGCTGTGCCATTCCTGGCGCCGTGTGGGCGGCCTGCTCGCACGGCCCAACACCACTGAGGGGTTCCGCGCAGTTGCCCTTCGGAGGATCAGAGAGCTCTATAGCGAGCTACTGGACGCCGCTGAGGCGTTTGACGGGTGGAGTGGTGGGGCCTTGGCAGAGGCGCCGCCATTAGCTCCCGGTGTTTGGGTGGGAGATCAAGCACTGCCCAAGGTCCCCCCACCAACTGTTGCCCCAGGGAGTGAAGCGCCTCCTGCTGTTGGAGTCGCCGCTGAGGCTCCTGCTGACCCTCCTGTTCCCTCAACTGGACCTGCCCAAGCCACCTCCAAAGCTGGACCAGCACAAGCTCCTGCACCAAGAAACCCACCAGAGGGAGAGATTGGAACCCCCAGTGGATCTATCCCGCTGAAAGAGGAGAAAATTGGTAGCGAAGACAAGAGCCCCAAGAAAAAGAAGAAGAAAGATAAGAGTCACAAGAAGCCCAAGGACAAGACCAAGAAAAAGGCCGAAGAAAGGCCCCGCACTCCTGTGTCTGAAGCAGACTACGACAGGTCATCACCGACCTCTACTGTGAAATCAAAAGATCAGGGAGCCAGTAGAAAAGCAACCTCCCGTGAGAGGGAGAGGGAGAGGAAAGCACAACCAGTCTCTCCCGTAAGAGAAGCCTCAGCAAGGAGAGCTGAGCGCAGAGAAAGAAGAAGCAGAAGCTGCCGTCATCGATCGAGAAGTGGGAGAAAGAGACCCTCCCGGACTCCCGTTAGATCAAGAGAAAGGGGGAGTAGAAGGAGAGATAGCCGCAGGAGAGGGAGGTCGCAAGAAGGTGCAGTGGCATCTCACTCCTCCCGATTTGGGCATTTACAACCTCCCGAACCGCTAGGGCCACCAAGGAGTGTCGCTCAGCCGTGGTTGCAACCACCTCCCGGGACTTTCTTCCACCCTCAACGGTGGAAGCCTTATCGTCCGTGGGGAGGGTCATCCAAAGGAGTTAAAAGGCGAGAGCGTGCGGAGGACATCAGGTCTTTTGGGACAGATCCTTCCCGCAAGGCTGAGAGAGAAAGACGGCAGCAGGGTTGATGAGACGTAGGCCGGCTGCTGCCCATCCTTTGAGGAGACCGGCCGCAAGGGGTGAGGCAGGCCTTTCGGCAGAAGATAAGTGGAAAGCTGGGGAGGAGGTTAAGGCAGAGGAGTTTGCTCCCGGATTGATAGGGAGTGGGGATTGGATTCAATCCTGCCAGGCTGTGTATTTTGAACAGCCTTGTGAGTTTGCGGGGATTATCGAAAAAGTGGTTTTGGAGGGCACTGAGACGGAGCTGGTCGTTCGGCTGAGTGGCACCAGTTCCGAAGGGCTTCTCAAATACGCTACTGTGTTGCAACCTCCAGTAGTACGGGCTCATCTTTGTCCACCCTCCTGCGACCAGCGGCGCAGCAATCAGGATTTACTACACCTGAAAAGCTTTCGGAGATTTGACCCAGCGGGTGAAAAGACATGGCAAGAGAACTTGAAGGGAGGAGACGAGAACGAGGAACTGCGGCGGCAGCAGGGAGAGTGGGAGAGAGGCCGAGCCGAGAAGAGAGGAGCAGAGGAGGTTTCTTCAGACTCCCGAGGCGAGGGAGAGAAGAGAAAAAAGAAAGACAAGAAGGTGCGCAAAGAGAAGAAGAAGAGCAAAAAGACCAAAGTGGGAGGAAAGACCCTGGCAAAGAAGGAAGCAGCGGCCCTCTACGCGGGGACAGGGCTCGATCCGGACTCCCGAGTGAGGAGACGAGTGAGGAGAAAGGTCAGGCGAAAGCTGAAGAAAACAAGGAGCAGCTCCAGCTCCTCCTCCCGAACCACAAGCTCCACCAGCAGTGGGGAGGTAGACGAGCAGATATTAGAGGACAGGAGCAAAGTCCAGAAGCTGGCGGAATGGGGGCCTGGAGTACTGACTGCCGGCTCCCTGCAGCACATGAAAAGCTTCGTGATGCAGGCCTCAGGCAGCACTTGGGAGGTCGATCAAGAGGTACTCCCTCCTATAATGAGCCAATACGTAAGGAGTTACGTAGCCGCTCGTGCCAGTGGCGGACTTCTCCGCGGCTCCCTGCAGCACATGAAAAGCTTCGTGATGCAGGCCTCAGGCAGCACTTGGGAGGTCGATCAAGAGGTACTCCCTCCTATAATGAGCCAATACGTAAGGAGTTACGTAGCCGCTCGTGCCAGTGGCGGACTTCTCCGCGAAGCTGTGACACTAGCTTATATAGGGGACCTTCTGGTCCAGTCTCGTCCAGCCGAAGCACTGGACGCTCTGAGTCAGCGCCTCAAGAGTCTAGAGATGGTGACAGCAGGACAGAGCTGGAGCGTAGCTCAAAAGATAGAAGTGGTACCGGCGATCGAAGCATCGATGGCGTCGAGAGCCGAACTGCAGTTGGCTCATCGCGAAGCTCAGCTGGACTCCAAGGCCCGCGGCAGCCAAAGCGGGGCAGAGAAAGGCAAAAGCAAAGGAAAAACAAAGGACAAAGATCGAGGCAAAGACAAGGGAAAAGGCGGCTCCAAGTCCAAGGAAGAGGCTCGAAAAACCTCCTGAGGCGAAGGAGGAGTGTGGCTCCCGAGGAAAGAGGGAGTGGAGAAAAGAAGAACGGAATAGGGAGGAGTTCGGAACGGCGAGGGCTTCAGAAAGATACATCTCCCGAGGGGGGAGAGGAGGCAAACGAGCTTGGGGAACTTGTGGACGAGCAGGCAAAAACTGAGGGCAACAGGCAGCATGAGTCGTTTCACCACTACGAGGGAGAGGCTGCCACCTCTCCCGTTTTCACCTTTGGTACAGGGGTTAATAACAACCCAACTTCGCAGCTGGACGCCGCGGCGGACTCTGGCATGGGCCGAAACCTCGCGGGAAAAGAGAAAGAGTGTGGGGATGGGAATGTGAGGGTTAGGGAGATCTTGTCCTGGCTATCAGGAAAGTTGGACTTGTTTTTGGATAGGCTCTGCAAGACCAAGCCCACGGGTAGGCTGTTCCCCCTACCCACGTCCTTCTTTCACCTTGGCCAGGCCTTCCCTAACTCCCCCACACCCCTTCTTGAAATTTTGGTTACCCTGGTCGTTTCACTTAATTCACTCAATGGGGAGGGTGTTTGGAATGATGGCTCTCCCAGTAATTTTCAGAAACAGGTTTTGGAGGAACTGTTTGTAGATTGTAAGCGGGTCTATGGATGGATGGATTCGAGCACTCCCGTCACGTGGGAGGGTTTCTTCAAATGTAGGGGGGTAGACCACCGAGGGGAAGAAGTTCTGGCAGCTCAGTCTATGCAATGGGAAAACGTGCAATCCACGCTCCCGGCTGAAGTGGGACAGGTGGATTTGTCTAGTGTGGTGGAGCTAGGCTCACTGCATTACGTACAACATTTTGAGGAATATCTCCTGCCTCCCGAGGACCAGATTTACACACGTCCACCAAAAGTCATGGTCCCTCCTAGTGAGTGGGAGAGATTCTGTGGAGAGCTCCTGCAACGGGGAGTATTTAGCAAAATACATGAAGATGATTTGCACCAGGTGAGCGGACAGCCACTCCTAAATGGATTATTTGGAGTCTCCAAAGGAGATTACACAGGTCATTGGGAAAACCTTAGGGTGATCATGAATTTGGTGCCGGTGAATAAAATTTGCCGCAGCATTGAGGGAGATGTTTCAACACTCCCGTCCTGGGCGGGCATGTCACCACTCCAGTTGATGCCAGATGAGGACTTGGTCATCTCCAGTGAGGACGTGCGATGTTTCTTCTATATTTTTAAAATCCCATCCGCCTGGCATAGGTACCTTGCCTTCAATCGTCCACTGCCGCATAGCCTCTGCGGAGCAAGGGAAGGCAAATGGTACCCATGCAGTGCAGTACTGCCTATGGGTTTTAAAAATTCAGTGTCACTTGCACAGCATGTGCACCGCTACATTGTGAAACAGGCACTGCAGTATGTGCCTTTTTCTGGTGAAGCTGAGCTGCGAAAGGATAAACCCTTCTCCTCAAGTAATCCTCAGTTCCGCATCTACTTGGACAATTTTGATGAGCTCCGGAAAGTCTCCAAGCCCATGGCAGAAGCCATTGAGGGCAAAGTGTCACCACTGGTCACAGGGCTTCGAGAAGAATACCTCCGATTGGGGGTGCCGCGACATCCCAAAAAAGGGGTGGCTTCTCAAAGACGGGCCGAGGTGCAGGGAGCTATCGTGGATGGCAGTGAAGGGTTAGCCTTTCCCAAACCTGAAAAAATCTTGAAATATCTCCAACTGGCGCAACTGATTTTGCAGCAAGAAACCTGTACGCAAAAGGAAGCGCAAGTAGTCGGAGGAGGTTTTGTCTACTTTGCCATGTTTCGGCGCCCGTTGCTTGGTTGCTTAAATTTTTTGTGGAAATTCATCACGAGTTTTCAAGGGTACCCGCCATTTGTGAAACTGCCCATTCCTCCTGAAGTGAAGGAGGAGTTGTCCCGGTTTATGGGGCTTATTCCCCTGGCCTACATGGATTTCCGATGCAAAATTTCTAAGCAGCTGACCGCAAGTGACGCGTCTACCTCAGGGGGTGGAGTCACGGTGAGTACAGGAGCCACTCCAGCAGGATATGTGGCAAGTGCTTGCCAAG